TGGTCTGGCTTCTCCTTCCATTTTAAAGCTGGGGAAGCTGAGGCCCATGGAGAACCTGGCCTTGCCTGTCAGCCTGCTACAGTGTAGATGTAAGGTTATGTGTGTTACCTATTGCTGGAAAGTGCTGACTGCGACTAAAGGTTAAAGTCCTGCATGGGGTCACCATGCATTCCTCTGGCATGTCTGAGTCCGGGGTAGGGCAAAGCTCTCCACCTGTGGAGCTCAGAGGCCTCCTGCTACAGCTACAGCTACACCTACAGCGCCAGCCCAGCCCAGCGTGCCAGCCTTCCATTTGGCTGACGGTTACATTGGTTGAATGGACACATGATGGAAAGTGATGGCCTCAGAGTCCATCAGTGGGTGTTTCCAGTCTCCACTTGTCCCTTCAGCAATGTTTGCTGAGTCCTAGATCAGTGCTGGGTCCATCCCCAGTGTGCGATGTGCAGCTATCCTTAAGGGACTCCCTATGCTGGAGCCCCAGAAGGTCAGGGGAGTGGGGAGCTAAGTGTGAGTCCTGGTTTTTCAGTCACTGGCTCCGTGACTTTTCCATGCCTCAGTTTTCTTACCTTTAAGATGGGAATTTGGAGCTGCCATGAGAATTGGCTGAGATAATAAATATAAAAATGCTTTGTTACTTGTTAATCGTCATCCTGCCATTACTGAGGCAGGTCCAGGGTAGCCAAAAGCAGTGGCCAGCAAGTCCAGGGAAGATGGTCTCTCTACTCAAGTTCTGTCCCCGCCATCCAAGTGCCGATCCCTGGGCTTTGGGAGACCGCCTCCCATTTTCCCAGACTCATGGAGGAAACTCGGGATGTCTTCTGGCCAGGACTGTCCTGGAGGAGGCGATATCTGGGCTTTCTCCTTTTCCCTACTGCTCATCTATGCTTTCCCCATTCTCCAGGAAAGGATGCAAATGTCCCAGCACCCCCTGCAGACCCTGCACCCTCCAGTGACAAGCCGGAGCCAGTCCAAAAACCTCCATCCAGTGTAAGTTGCATTTGGAGTCCTGGCTGAAAGCTGCCTGGACTTCGAGGTCCCTTGGGCAGATACAAGGACACGAAGAGAGAGGGTTGGCATCTAGAAGCCTAGGTTCTGACTCGCTGGGTGATGTTGGGCAGGCCGATCTCAATTTCTCGGGGTCTCGGTTTCCCCATCTTTAAATGAAGGTCACAATTAAAACTTACCAGGATGACCCTGATGTGCACAAGGAGTTCCTCCCTTATAGTAAGCCGCATAATATGAAGCATGTATCTATCGACTGCACAGTGCTAGGAAAGCGGGTGGATGTGACATAGAGCTCATTCCCAGAGAGGCTGAGGAGTCGCCTCGAGACATTCTGCTTGGTGTCCTAGGACTGGAAGAGACTCAAAGGATTGTATCGTTTGGCATCTTTATCCTAGAGATGAGGTCTGAAGTGAGAATAGCATTTTCCAAGGTCACGCAGACCTCGGGGGAATCAGAGAGAGGGACATGAGGTTTTTTAGGACAGGGCCAAGATTCAGAGCTGGCTTCCTGGTGGCCACGAGGCTCAGAGCAGAGACAGAAGCTGCGAGTGGAGATCCTCCCGTCCATTCCCATCCATCTACCCTTGCCAGGGGGAAGGCTGCAGTTGACTTTGCAAACCAGGTTTAACAGCAATCCCAGAGCCAGTTGCTGGTTCAGAGGGATCGTTGGCCTATCTGTTGGTTGCACACCCAGTACATTCCACTTGGAGTGGCTGAGAGATGAGAAAAAGGCTGGGAGTCTTTTTTTTTTTTTTTAAATAGAAATGTCTTTGGAATTTTAATTTTCACATTATGTAACAGATTCCTGACCCCATTCATAAAGCCTCACAGTACAGACTCAGATTTCACTACTCATAACTGGGAGTCTTTTTTGTTGTTAATCCTCACCTGAGATTGTTTTTCCCGTTGATTGATTGATTGATTGATTGATTGATTTTGAGAGAGAGTGGATGGGAAGGAAGGAGGAAGAGAGAGAGAGAGAGAGAATCAGGATATCGGGGTTTGTGGGGCTGGTTTGGTAAGGCTGGCACAGGACCACCTCCGTGTGGCCACACTGACGGCTATCTGTTCTCCAGCTGAACAGTCAGGGGACACCTGGACCTGGGAGACAGCTCCGAGGCCGTAGTAGGAGCATTGGTTTTGCAGGCCTTGGATTCAGCCCCTCCTTTCTGTATTAGCTAACAAAGTACCTTCTGTTTCCTCATCTGACCAAAGGGGATATAATACTCTCACCATAATGGAGTTCATGAAAACATTGTAAGTCTCTGGTGGGAGAGATTTTAAAAGTACAAGTTTAAAAAAGAAAAGACCCCAAAGTTCCAGTGGTTCAAAGTCAGCTAGCCCAATGTTCCTGTTTTACGGATGAGGAAACTGGTCACAGAGGGCCTGTAAGTTCGAGTCCTTTGTGAAGAGAGGCAGTGGGGGTTGAATGCAGAATCCACGCTCAGACCTCACGGTGAGCGGGCTGTGGGCAGACTTGTTGGGATCCTGCCTTATGACCGCACATGAGCTGATGTGGGGCTCAGCTCTGCATGGAAGGGCTGCTGGGATGAAGTGGATGTTAGAAGAGATTTTGTCCCTCCATTCTCTGCCCCTCCCTGCTGCTGTCAGCTGTGGGTTGAGGGGTTTTTTTTTTTCCTCTCAGGCAGCCTGTAACTCCCTTTCTGCACAGGGCACTTCCTCTGAATTTGAAGTGGTTCCCGCTGAGGAGCAGAATTCTCCACCAGAGAGCGGCGGCCAAACCAGAAACATGATGGTGAGTGGATGGCAGGTCCCTGGGCACATGCCATGTCTCCTCTCTGTTTCAGTCACCTGGCCCTAGATCAGAGGCACAGGGTCCCTTGGGCCCCCTGGAGTCAATTGGGGACCCATGGGGGGCTGGAGGAGGGGATGCTTCTCGAACATGCAAATCCCTTGCTGGTGACTTCCCCTACTTGGGTCACACAGGCGCCTGATGATTGTGAAAGCCTGGGCACATCAGCAGCCCTGCTGGTCTCCATGAATGCTGGGCACCTCCACACACTATGACTCAGCCTCTGGACCAGTGGGCTCCTACCCGGGGTGGAACAGAAAGGGTCAGGGAGACCCAGAGCAGCTTAGGCCAGCAGTTTTCCCTTCTGTGAAGGCTGAGAAAGGTTCTGAGTTTTGTCTCCTGGGAACTTCCGTGCCCTTACCCTGCTCTGTCTCTCAGGGCTCTGAGAAGCTGGCAGAGGCAGCAAGAACCCCCTGCTCCGAAAGTATTTGCCCTATGATCTTGGACCAGTCACATTATCTCATTAATAACTTCCTCCTTAGCCCCACCATGTGCCTAGTCTGTGCTGAGTCAAGACAAGATGGCCTCCCTGGCCTGTGGGCGCTGGTAGGCTAGTTGGGGAGATCAGCAGATGAAGCAATTCATGGACCTTAAATAGAGCAACTTTTGCCACCTCGAGTACTTTGTGAAGAGAGGCAGTGGGGGATGAATGCAGAATCCAAGAAGCCACGTTATCTCCTGTTAGAATGAAGTGCGAGCAGTATTGCATAGGCATTTACTGAGCATCAGGAAGCCTCAGTTCCAGTCCTGGCACTGCCACTGAACCACTGGGCAGCTATGGACAAGTTCCTGTTCACTGTAGCTTAGTTTCCCAGTCTGAACCCTGAGGCTCCCCGTAGCTCTACTGTCCTGCAACTTCCATGTTTAGGGGAGGCCTGCTAGAAGAGTGGAAATGTGAGCAAGGCCAGGAAGGATGAGCAGAGGGGACCCTGGGAATGGAACCATAGGATGTGTGGGAGCTCAGCCAGGGGAAGGAGGGGTCTCTGATGCCTGGCTGTAAGGGCCACTTTGGCATAACTTAGGCACTGTCTTTGGAAGGAATGACACAGGAGAGATGGAGAAAGACAGATTGATTGATTATTGACATTGGACTCTCTTGCCTACGGTATGCTTCCTTTCTTATGGACTCTATTGGATTGGATTCTTTGAAATAGCTAGAGTTAAGATTCTTAACCTGTTTTGAGTCTTGGATCCTCTGAGAAGCTGATGAATGCTGCAGCTGTTCCCCAGAAAACACACACTAGACTTAAAAGTCAGGCAGCTCTGGTCTCTGCGTGGCTCCCTTAGCAAGACTCCCTAAGCCCATGGTCGGCAAACTGCAGCTCGCGAGACACATGCGGCTCTTTAGCCCCTTGAGTGTGGCTCTTCCACAAAATACCACGGCCTGGGCAAGTCTATTTTGAAGAAGTAGCGTTAGAAAAAGTTTAAGTTTAAAAAATTTGGCTCTCAAAAGAAATTTGAATCGATGTACTGTTGTTATTTGGCTCTGTTGACTACTGAGTTTGCCGACCACTGCCCTAAGCCAAAGAGGCAGCACTGTGCATGGAGTGAGCCCCTTTCCCAGGCTTGCCGCCTTCACGTGGCAGTTCACCCTCCTGAGCACCCTGTGAGCTGGGAGGGAGGGAAGGGGCGTGTGCACACTTGGTAGATGAGGATTCCAAAGCCCAGCAGTTGAGAGATCCACCCCCAGGCACTCGGGGAGGCCCAGGGCGTGGGAGGAAAGTGGCTCCACTGCTGGTAAGCCAGCCACTGGCCTGGGAGTCCCGGTCCTGCCCTGTGAGTCAGCCCCAGACAGGGAACCTGCGTAACTGGAGAATTTCCCTGGGCTGAGCTGGGATCAGAGGGGGAAACTGAGTCATGAGGAATGGGGAAGCAGAAGGTGAATGGCTGGCAGAGCCTACTCAGACCCTGGGTAGCACCATTGCTATTCTGCACTTCCCTCCCTTCCCCATCTGTAATGGCCCTGGTCCCCTTCTCCTCTCCAGGAGCTGGGTCCCCTACCCCACGAGGACAGCAACCTGATGCTGCACCTGCAGCGCCTGGAGACCACCCTGAGCGTGTGCGCGGAGGAGCCGGACCACAGCCAGCTCTTCACCCACCTGGGCCGCATGGCCCTCGAGTTCAACCGGCTGGCCTCCAAGGTGCACAAGAATGAGCAGCGCACCTCCATCCTGCAGGTGAGGCCGGGGGAAGGGTAACCTGGGGTGGGCAGGTGTGCTTCCCCTCCCTCCTCCTCTGGCTCTTCACGGGAATCCAGGGTACTCTGGGGGCTTCTGAGAATGATGTTGCCTTTGGGGGGCTGACTTTGGGCTTCTTGTTTGAGGTGGTGAGCAGGGTAAGGAAGATGAGTGAAGGGGTGAGGAAGAGGAAGGAAATTGGGAAATATGGGATGTGCAATGCAGATTTCATGGTTGGGGACGGAGGATGTGGGCAGCTGGGAACAGCCCTACCTTGTTCTTCAGAGACAGACAGGTGGGGAAAGGGAAGGGACCAAGTGGAGAGGACCATCATTATCCCCACTTCACAGGTGGGGACACAGCCCTCGAGAGGTTGTTTGTTTGTTTATTTTTGCCTAAGGTTGCAGCTGGTAGAGGGTGCACTTGGAATTTGAACCTCAACCTGTCATATTCCAAAGCCAATGCCCTCCACCACCACCCCGGCTTATCTCCCCAGGGGAAGAGGTTCCTTTCATAACCCTCCCTGTGCCGGGGGAATGACCTTGGACAAGACCCTTATCCTCTCTGTCCCTCTCTGTCCCTGTCAGTAGCATGGTGCTGGGAGTGCCTGCGTTATGGGATTGCTGTGAGTATGAAATGAAGTCCAGGCTAGGATATTTAAGTGCTCACCATTAGGATTTGATGATGACCAGACTTTCATACTGGGCCAGGGGTCTTAGCCTTGAGAGCTTGTGGGTAGGGAAGGATTCACAGATGGCAAAACTGAGGCTCCTAGGGACCCTGCTCAGGACCTGAGCACCTGTCCCCTCAGTGACAGGGCTATAACTTTAAATCCCTGCCTCCCTCCCAGGCCCCGCTCCAGTCAGTGGTCTCATTCGTGGCAGCAAACATTCACTTGCCCAATTAATGGGGGAGAAGTCTACCATGTGTGACCTTAAGAAGGGCCTAGGTTAGGGTGACCGGACGTCTCGCTTTTGGTGGGACAGTCCCGATTTTTAACAATTTGTCCCGCGTCCCGAGGTGTTTTAAAAAAAAGTCCCGATTTCCCCCCCCCCCCCCCAAAAAAAAAAAAAATCAGGACTTTTTAAAAACGCCTCGGGACATGGGACAAATTGTTCAAAAGTGGGACATCTGGTCACCTTAGCCTAGGTTGACAAGAGCAGAAGGGCATCCGGCTGCTGACAGTGTGAGAAGAGATGTGGGGAGCAGAGGACCCCAAGGAGTGTGCAGGACCCCCAGTCCAGCTCCAGGGAGTGCACAAGGGAGGCAAGGTTGGAGGAGTGATTGGAGCCTGAGAGCCAGGCTGAGGGAGATTCTCAGACGTCAGCAAGGCGTAGAGGTGTCAAAGCTGAGCTCCTGGGAGGCGAACCCGGTGCATCGCACGGGTGACATCATTTTCAGTGTCAACTTTTTGGCTTTGCACTGGGGATTATCAAAGGGGGTCCTGTCAACCTCTGTTGTTCTTTATATCAGGCCTTTGTTTATTTCCTTCTTAGCTCTTATTTGAGGTGGTTTGTAATAGTTGTATTGCATAGTTTGTAATAGTTGTATTGCATCAGGTGGTTTATTTGCTTTGTGGCTTTTTTCCTTGTACTTCCTGCTGGAATATAAGCCTCACAAGAGGGGCAGGTACTGTATCTCTCATATTCATCAGTGTATCCCAGTGCCTGGCACTGAATAGGTGCTTACTGCACATTAGTGAGCAAATGAATGAATGAGTGAGTGGACTAAGGAACTCACAGGTGAGCTCTGTGAGCCCCTTCAGCGGACTGTGACCTTTGTGACGCCTTATCTCCGCCAGCTGCTTTGTACGCAGGGAAATTCCCCAGAAGCTTGGAGGGAACAGCCCTCTAGCCTGGAAAGGTGGACAGCACACCGTGTGCAGCCTTCCCTTAGGAGCAGGACGTTCTGTTCCCTGGAGGCCCCACCCAGAGCTGTGGCATCCTGTGGGTAGAGGCAGATTAATCCGGTTCCTCTTCATTCATTTGTTGATTTGTTTCTTGGTTTACTCGATCACATTTTCAAGGCCAGCTATAATGCAAGGCTTCTAGAAGCTAGGCATTGGAACCAATCACAGTAGTTTTCTGTTCTCTCTGCCTCGAACCTCTGATGTCTGACCACCCCCAGTTCCAGGCTTTGATGCCTTTCCAAGTCTCTCCCGGGAAACAAACAACTCTGAAATCCCTCAGGATAAAAATTTTCCCTCATTGCCTGTGGCAGGGACTCTGCTCCAGTTACTTAGCGGCCCCTTCATCTTGTGCCCTTTGGATTACGAGGCAGTCTCAGCCACAGGAAGAGACCAGAGACTGTACAAGGGCCAGGCCAGGACGGACCCTTATCACTTCCACTCGCCTTTCCCTGGCCAGAAATAGTCACGTGACCACAGCAACAGGGTAGGGAAGACGTTTGGGGAGAGACCTGATTAGGGCCAGAGTTTAATCCCCCTGGTGGTTCTTAACAGCTGTGCAACCTCATGCAAATTCATTCACCTGCCTTAGCCTGCTTTAAAAATAGGCATGAATTCTGTCGCTTTGAGGGCACTCTGAGGCTCTGATGATGCAGTGAGTGGAAGAGCACCCAGCCGAGCACCTGGCGCTGTTAGGTGCTCACTCAGTATTTGTTTTTTTTTTAATATATATTTTATTGATTTTTCACAGAGACGAGGAGAGAGGGATAGAGAATTAGAAATATCGATGAGAGAGAATCATTGATCAGCTGCCTCTTGCACACCCCCTACCGGGGATGTGCCCGCAACCAATGTACATGCCCTTGACCGGAATTGAACCTGGGAACTTTCAGTCCGCAGACCAACGCTCTACCACTGAGCCAAACCGGTTTCGGCTCACTCAGTATTTGTTAAAGATTGAGTGCTTGGTACGCCACAGCACAGCACCGCACCATGGCTGCTCTGCACCTCCCTCCCTTCCCCGTCGGTAATGCCCTGAGTCTGGCTGTCTGTCTTATATGCCCTCACCTCACAGCTCTCTTGGAACACAAGTCGTCAGGTATTATCAGGTGACTGACAGTTCACAGGGTGCTTGCCCTCTCTCGGGCTTGTTTGTCCTCTAAGGAGGCAGAGAAGGCGCAGTTGCCAACGTTGTGTCAGGGAGGGAACTGTGGCGCAGAGGCGAATGAAGCCTGAGCCACTCCTGAGGTGTTGGCCGGACACCCTGTTGACCACCCTGGAAGCCTCGGCCGCTCCCCCAAATCGACTAAGCATATAGGGCGCTAGGTCTCCGATCTTCACTTGTTCGTTCCTTCGTTTGGCCATGCAGTCATTCAGTCCTTTGTTCCTTCAGCAGAGTTAAGTGTCAGCCTGTGCTAGATCCTGAGCTGGGCTGGGATCTGGCAGTGGACAAGAGAATGGGGAAGAGTCCCAGGCCTTAGGTTACTCACAGACTAGAGAGGGTGGGCTGGAGTTGGATATTAAGAAAATAAGGGCAAAAATGGCTCTTTAGCTCTCACTGTCACAAGTACTGAGAATGGGGGGCTGTGAGCAAGGATATGGAGGTGATCTAACTCACTGAGATGTAGAAATCAGGGAGGACTTCTCTGAGGAGGTGATGTTTAGGCTAACTTGAAGCAGGAGTAGAATTTGGGAAGGCCTGTAGGGAAGAGTGTTCTAGGATGTGGGAACTGCAGTGAAGGAGGGGAGATGGAGCTCTCTGCCTGAGAGAAGGAAAAGGCCCTTTGGCTGATCCTTGTTTGGGTATCCTCATGGCTGGCTTTATGAGGATGCTTAAAGGAGCTTGGATGGGCCTGGCGGCTTGGCTCTCAGCTGTCCTGGGAGGGGTTGTGTCAGGCCATGCCAAGAGGCTAATGTGTGGGACCTGGTAGCCCTGTCCTGTCCTCCAACATCAGCGTGGATTAGGAATGCACCCCTCCCCTTCCCTTGCCCTCATTTTACGCCCCTGCTCTTCAGACCCTGTGCGAGCAGCTTCGGAAGGAGAATGAGACCCTGAAGGCCAAACTGGACAAGGGCCTGGAACAACGGGATCAGGCTGCTGAGAGGCTGAGGTGAGTCCAGATTGCAGAGCAGGGATGAGGAGTCGGATGGCCAGGAGGAGGGGCCGGGTGCATGGCACTGATTTCTGGGCTGAGGGCTCAGAGGCCTATGGAGCTCTGGCGCCTGTGCCCAGAGCCTGGCTTTGGGTGTCTTTGGCTCTACTCCTTGGGTACCTCGGGGGGTATTTATAAAGTGAGAACTTCAGAAGAAGGTCTGTACAAATTGCACGTCTGTCTTCCTTGGGAACTTAAGCCTATCTTAGCCTGTTAACAGCTGCTGGCTGGTTGTAGGAGGGCTCAGGACTGTGCTGCCTCCTGCTGGTCATTATTCTGTTCTGCTCTGTGTTCCTGAGAACAGCTGGGGCTCCCTCATCAGGGCTAGTGGGTCATGGACTTAATTACGCACCTTAATTATGAGGGTCAGGCAACGCCCCCAGTTTACACTCCCACACCCCCCTCCTCTACCAAGATTCTGAGACCGTAGGTCTGAGGCAGGACCTAGGCACTTGCCTGTTCCAAAGGGCCGCTGGCATTATGATGTCAGCTGGTCCAGGATCACACTTGAGAAACACTGATCTTGACTGTCAGAACACGAAGGGCCCTGTGAGATCACAGGGGCTAAACCTTTACCTCATTGTGCAGAGGGAGAGACTGAGGCCCAGAGAGAGGCGTGTGAGGTCATGACAGAGCAATAGTAGTGACTGAGCCACTGTGCCACTTTGAATCTGCATATATTTATTTACGTCCAAGCAGTTGGAGTTTTATAGCTCTAATGACTCCGTCCATGGATCCAAAAACCCAGGCTGCAGGAAAGACTCCTGACTAGAGAGCATGTGTACAAAGCTGTGTGGCCTTGGGAAAGCCACTTCTCTGTTTTTCTATTATTACGTGGAAATCCAGCGGGCAAACAGAACATAAATATTTTCCATATTTCAGTCACACTACTTTTATTATGTCCTGCATCACTTGTTATTTACTTAAGAATTTAATTTGAATCCTGTTTTGACTTAAAAAAATACTATAAAGCTTTCACTAAAGTAAGTGGAAGACAGCATTCCCTCTAATAAGTAAAAGGTAATTCCAACAATAAATGTAGGGGAAATCAGAGGATGTTATTGATTCTGGCTAAGTACCATTGCCCATTGAAGGCTCTGAGCCTGAAGCCTGCGCGCGCGCGCGCGCGCGCTCTCTCTCTCTCTCTCTCTCTCTCTCTCTTTTTCTCTCTCTCTAAATAAATCATTTTTATTGATTTCAGAGAGAGATAAAAAAAAAATCAATGATGATAATCATCAGCTGCCTCCTGCATGCCCCCTACTGGGGATTGAGCTCACAACTCAGGCATGTGCCCTGACAGGGAATCAAACTATGACTTCCTGGTTCATAGGTTGAGGCTATCTCCCTTTTAACAAGGGACACTGGCAAGTACAGGAAAGGTGCTCAAGACATCACGCTGAGACTTTTCCCCTGCTCCACACCGGAAGCTGGAAGATAATTGGGAAGAATCACTGGAGTGTGATCCAGGGTTATTTAATGCAGGTTTGGCTGCTTCCTGAGGATTCCATGTCTGCAGGCATCCCAGTTGGGGACGCCCTGCGGTGATGACTGGCAACTCCTAGGGAAGCCCACAGATTGCCAGCAGTTTAAGGATGCCCTTTGGTTTCACCAGAGGAAAGGTTTCAGGGCCTTGCTTACACCCCAGGTCTCAGCTGCCACTCAGATGAAAGTACAATAGATCCTTACCCAGAGCCAGCAAGGTGACTTCTGTGTTTGCCTCCAACCCAGGGAGGAAAACATGGAGCTCAAGAAGTTGTTGATGACCAGCGGCAAAGACAGTTTTTGCGGGCGGCCAGGCTCACCCAAGACGGAAGGCACAGGCAAGAAGGGGGTAGCTGGACAGCTGCAGGTAGGTGCTCAGAAACCCCTTCCACAGCATCCCCTCCTGCCGATGCCAGCCTCCGTCCCCACCTCCAATGGCAGTGAGCTCACTGCCTCCTGCTCAGCAGTTCTGCTGTTCCAAGGTTCTAGTGGTTAGAAGGCTTTTCCTTAGCTTGGCCTGACAGTCCACCTCACTGGAGCTTCTACCTCTCAGGGCTTATTCAGCCTTCAGCCACATGGAGCATCCATTCCCCGCAACACACACGCAGGCTGCCAGCCAGGACCGTGGCTCTGTGGCCCCCACCAGCCCTCTCTTCTCCAGGCTGAGTAGCTCCAGTTCCATTGCTCAGAGACGGTGGTCGAGTCCTTGGCTCAGAGTGAGCACATTCCCTGAACCCATCTCACTCTTTACAGGGTGGCTCCCGAGCATGACATCTCAGACATTCCTGGCAGAGTCAAGGTGTTAACCTTCTGCAGGCTTCTCAGGGGACTCTGTTGAGCTCCTGTGACTGCCCCCGGGGGCCTCTGACATGGAGAGAGGGGGACATGGCCTGGTAGTGCCACCGGTCCGGCAACTTGCCCCCTTCCCACCGCTGCTGCTGTATCCCTGGGTCACATCCAGTCCCCAGGCAGGAACTGACTCCTTG